TTCCACCAGAAGTTGTAGCAATTGAATTGACAAATGAGACTTGTTGGAAAGAACCATCAGAAACCGCGAACCCAACTTCCCATTTTGGATGACCTTTGGAATCCTCGACTATAACAGTGTTTGCGCTGGAATCATCAGAACCGCGTTCCTTATTGATTGCCTTGGCGTACATTTCGATGTACTTCTTGAAGTCAAGCTTGATTTGTGTTCCATTGAGGTAAACCTTGACGCCTTTGACAGTTCCAGCCATGTCGTACACTCGACGCTTTACCATAGCTTCAAAATCGTCGTCAATTCCCGTCATCTTAAATTTTGTCCAATCGGGGGTAAAGGTAACTCTGGTGAAGTCGGCATTCTTGCTAGATGAGATTCTCGCCTTGCCCATCTTGCTCATGTTGTCAGTCCAAGTTTGCTTGTACCTCTTACCGCTATTGGAATCTTGTGTTTCCAACGTGAACTCCGTACTGAAAATGTTGCAAAGTTTTGCTCCGTAACCGTTACGACCACCAGTTGTTTTGGCTTCGTCATCATCGTAATTGGAACCAGTAAGGAGATGTCCAAAGATCATCTCTGGAATGTAAATCTTCTCTTTCTACACAAGATGTCAGTACTTATAAAATTCTGAGGCGGGGCGTATTTATGTGTTCATTGTAAAAAAAAGAATGGAATTGGGTCGAATCAACATCCCAAATGGTTATGTGAGTAGTGAATGAAACACATGTGTAATTATGATGGAAAAATTTAGAAAAAAGAAAGGGTGACTAAATGATTTACCTCGTGGATTTCAACGGGAATACCTCTACCATCGTTCTCAACACTAATTTCGCCCTTCTCACGATCCACGACTACTTTTATGTTCTTCATGTTGGCGTCATTTTGTTTGTTATCTGCGGCATTGACCATGATCTCGTCAAAGATCTTGTAGAGACCGGGCACAAATGTAACCTTTCGCAGCTCCATCTCCTTATTCTCGGAATTGAATACCCACATAGTCTGCTCCGTCTTCTCAACGGAGCCAATATATGTGTCTGGACGCTTGATGATGTGCTCAAGTTGAGTGAGTTTCTGGTATTGTTCCGTTGAGGTTTTCGTCTTCTTGGGTTTAGGCTCTATTTCCAGTATACTTTCGTTCTCGACATCGTGCAGAGCTTCAGGTGCCTGTCTTTTGGCGGCTGGGGCTTTCTTCTGCTTCTTCGCATTTGGCGGGGTACTGGACAACTGCGACGCATCATTGGTTGAGTCATCATCTGATTGCTGGTCCTCATCGTCGCTCCCTGACCTCGCCCGCTTCTTGGGAGCCATATTGAGGGTGGTTTGTATGTTCTTTGTGGTTTTCGTAGCCTTGGTGGTTTTCGGGGCTTTGGTGTTTTTTGGCTCCTTGGTCGCTTTGGCTTTCGCTTTTGGGGCTGCAGGTTTTTTTACAGTAGTCTTCGCTTTAGCTTTCTAAATTGTAAAGGTCAGTTTAATGTTGAAGATTGTGTTTGTCCGGCAGTGCATTTTGTGTAACTGAAAAGGTATTGGAACAACATACCACTGTGGGAGCAAAGTTATCAGACTCATCGTCCGACATATGGAAGCTTGGCACATCACTCATCGAGTCGTCGTCCATGATGAATTAAAGAGAGAAACAGATTGTTCCTCAAAATATGAAAATAGTCCCGAGGTAAGAGAATGGTAGTACAATAAATAGAATACCTAATAACTAGACAAGCTTCTTCTAACTTTTTTCTAGAGAACAACTTGATCAAAAAAGTAAGTAAGCAAAAATCTGATCAAACAGTGAAGTTGAAGAAAGAGTGTATGACCAAAGGAAAACTTCCCCTTGATCTTTGTCGTTGTATGTGATCTTTGTGAATTTCAAAAAAGTAAACAAACAATGATAAATCGCGTCTCAATATGAGCTAGTACCAATACAGTAAGGCTTGCTGAAGGGTAGCTCTTAGTCTAACCATAAATAGACTAACCAATTATAAGCTCTTAAATTCTTCCAATGATAATTTACATTCTGTACAGATTATCTACTCAGTCTTACCTACCTGCAGAGTAGATATATCCCAACCCATACGATACAATTCCATATAACAGTGGGCCAATGGGCCACCAATGGATTTACTTCGCCATGTTCGTCTGGTATTTTGATCTTTCTGCTGTTCTCAATATGCACTTGGCCTTTCGTCTTGATCCTTTCCTCTCTCTCCCTCTCTCTTCCTCCCATCACTCGCAAATATCTGGTGTCGTACAAAATAAAGTACTGTACACTGTGCTCTCTCTCTACTGTACTGGCTCTATCCATCTAACCTTTGCCCGGTATTGTAATGTTACAATAGATATCGCGAAAACCAAAAAAACTATCCGAAAAGTTTGATTCGATGCTACAGTCCTTTGAAAGAAATCCCAGGCGAGAAGATAACGCGAGAGAGAGAGAGAGAGGCTCAGTGCACGCACAGAGAGAAAAGCGAGCGAGCGACAAAGAAACTGTAGAGGTACAGTACAGTATCTTCTTTCATGATTCGTATTACTCAATTAAAACTTTGACATCGGAAGACTCACCTCTTGCGTTACTTCGAACAGGAATTTCACGTTGAGAAAGATGTTTCCGATGCGAATAATGCATGCTGCCGACATCTTCCTCCCGTTGCGTTATACCAATTCCTTAAAATGGATCTGGTGTATCAAGGTTTATTGTACCCACGCGTTCTCCACGATCTGAAACTCCAACGGCTGTCAGAAGATCATCCGGTATAGCTTGGGAAGCAGGACCTTACAGGTAGGACTGACTCTCAATAGCGGAGTGCATCGTATCGTATAGTAGGGTAGCTGGGTATTTGCTCTATTTCTATTTTTCTTAATGCTAGAATGGTCAAGGGATATTGCTTGCAAATCGGGAAAAATGGTATGTAAGACGGTTCTGACCCGAAAGATGTGTTTGATTTTTGATTCAAATCCTCAATAAGGCCAGGTAAATTCTGAAACCGAAGGCCCGAAGGAAATAAATGAGGGAGAAGCGATTTGGTCTCACAAAGTGCATCGAAGTAAATGTGTCCCTGCCTTCTTCTTTCATTGCATGAAGATCTCGTCGAGTCTCTTCCAGGGGCTGTGGGCATTACAAGTAGGCGTAATGACTTGCATAAGGCGCATGTTGTCCTATCGTTTTTTCTCATTAAACTTACCCTTCTTCTTCGTTTGTCCAGGTGCATTGGCGACAACGTGGTTGGCCTATGGCAAGGCGTTTTTACGACAAGGTCGACGGGTGGCTGCACCTTTCATCCAATTTGGGTCACCCGCACTGACATTGTCTTAGCAACTGCGACTCGAGGGTGTATGGGTATGGTAGCATCTCAGAAATTGCTCATTGAATAAGGCTAGCTACCATACTGCGAGGATCAGACATCAGTTTCTTTGTCGCCAAATCCTGGCTTTCGTGTTTGTTTTGCATCTTTCTGCTTTCTCTCTCTAGCTTGCTACATGCCATCACATCTATTGAGGTAGAAATCTCCACAAATGCCAGCCTGGTTGCCATGTCTTTATGACGTGCACACTAATGACCATTTCCATCACCAAGTTGGAGCAGGAGAGCAGCCAAACACGCATTCCGGCTTTACGCTTACCTGCATATTCCCGTAGACTTTACCATGCTTTTCAAGTGACAGCTGCAGTACTAGTCCTCGCATTAGTTGTGTGATCAGAGTATTTTTTCTCATTTAATTCTCGAAGGCCCGTAGAAGAAGTTCCTAGGGGAAAGGGTGAATTTGCTTTGATGTGATAATAGCGGATGGGGACATGATGTTTATTTAAAGCATCCCTAACGAGGTGTTTTCTCAATGATTCTGAGAAGTGATAGTGATGGATGGTACCCACTTTTCAATTCAGATTTTGATACTCATGAAATTGATGTGTTAATTCTCTAGCATCTCTACTTTCCGACAGAGACACAGATAGAAGATGTGTTGTCCACGTGCATCGAGTCAAGCAATCTTGCTTTAGATAGTGCCGCTTATGGTGGATGGATTTCTTTGTCTATCTACGAAATTGTGGCTTTCACTTACTGTAAATCATCCGCAAGTACTGCGGGCACCCGGCTCAAGACATCTCGGCCAGCAGATACGTCCAGCAACCTTTTTGCTATCCACATTCAAACAAGCCATGTTCCCGATCGGGCTGTAGCACAATATTTGTTGTTGTCAAACTTAATTGATCAGCCTGGCTTGCCACCCCCTGTGCAGTCACGCAGCCGAATTGATGGTACTGAAGTCGGTAAATATTGCTTTTTTCTTAGTGTAGTGAAACGTCTTGCCTCGATATGCTCTGCAATCCATATGCGGGATGCTTGGTGGCCGTGTTGGCTTTTTATGTTGACGGGCACGGGAGCGGCGAATCTGAATAGAAGCTTCTTAAATGTCGTTTGGATTTATGGTCTCGTTATCTCGGCCTTTGTCAATTCAAGGAAAGTCCCACACCTTGAAGCTATAGAAAATTGATAGAAATCATTTCCTTCGCCTTGTTGGAATACCAAGTAGGCCATCCCTGCCCAACTTACCCCGGAGTCTGCAATTGCTAAGTGGATGCCTCTTATTTTTGAGCTTTGGAAGAGCGGTGGGCACCAACAAACGGACGATTGATATTCTACTGGTTGATTCTCAGACAACTGCCAACAAAGACTGCCTCCAGTTCGAGAATACCGATTTGATCCAAAGACATCCATCCTTGGACTGCAGGAACTGCATCGCTAGTTGACACCGACGAAAGTGAAGCCGTGAAGCTCGTTCATTATTCTGCTTCAAATCTCTTCATAAGGATCCAAGAACAGTCCATTACTGTTTTCCTGTTTGCCAGATTCAAACACTGATTTTTTCCATTTACTGTACCGAGAAAATTTAGACATTACCTAGCCCTCGTTTCTTTTAGAGAATTCGTTCGCTTTCGAAAAAAGAGGCATTCAGCCTGCAGATTTAGAGGAAACAAGATTCTGTTGAACTCATTTCCACCACTCACCGCCCACTATGCTCTCCGTAGCATCGCTACTCAATCCTGCTAAGTCAGAACCGCGAAGCACTCGAATATCATCAAGTCCTCCGTCGTCGCTTTGTACCTCATCGCCCTCTTATGGGCATACCCTATTACCCATTCAATCCTCGTCCATCAAGAAACAAAAGATGGCTAAGGACGGCGCAGTTTTCGCCAAGGGTACTAAGATTAAGGGCGATGTAAACTTTCCACCGTTTGAACATCTGAGCGAGGAGACTATGCGAGAAGTCTCAAAATTCCAAGTGTATCCACTTGGTAAGATTCAAGATTATTGCCGCCATATCCCTTATAATAGCGAGAAAAAGAACTTCTTGGAAAAGACTGGTCGAGAGAGCTTCGAAGGTATGCTTCTGTCTATGCAAAGCTGACTCTCTTTCCGATAAGCTTACCAGAGTTGACTTTTTGCTTGCAGTATTTCAGTACACCTTCAAACTTCCTGGTGAGGATAGAGTGTACACTGTTATGTGGGATTATAATGTTGGGCTCGTTCGCATCACTCCTTTTTTTAAGTGCTGTAAATATTCTAAGGTAAGCAAGCTTCATTCATCAGGTTGCGTGTACTCAAGATGGCTAATTTCATCTAATCATCTACAGACAACTCCGGCCAAGATGCTCGGAATGAACCCAGGCCTAAAGGAAATCACGCACAGCATCACTGGTGGCGCTTTGGCAGCCCAAGGTACGTTCTTATCGTTTCTCATCTTAATTTTTATGAAGAAGCAGTGCCAAATGCATTGTTTTACTTCTTTCTTTCCAACATTCTAAAATTCTTCTATTGTTATTACAATGCAACAATAAAACCCAGTTGAGACCCCAATACTGATTGCGTTGCAGGTTACTGGATGCCATATTCCTGCGCTCTCGCCGTTTGCACCACCTTTTGCTCCCACATCGCTCCAGCTTTGATTCCTATCTTTGGTCCCTCCTTCCCATCTCAGTGCTTTTCACCCGACGCTCCAGAACACGGCCGTATGGTTATCGACCCCAATATAATCCGTGCCGCCACCGCAGAAGCCGAATCTTATCGTCTCCACTACACATCCTTCACCCCCAAATCTTCCACTAACGTTACACCTCGCGATTCCGCCAGCCCCCAACAGCAAAGCTCTAATTATCTCATTCGCACAAACACCATGACGCCCCCAACAAGTTCAAGCAGTCATCTCGAACGAAGACTGAGACTCAAAAGAACGTATGGCGGCGAGAGTCCTTATGCGGAGAGCAGTACTGATCATGATGCTGCGAGCGAGACATCAAGTGGTGATGCTGCATACTTTTGTTCGCCAGTAACTCCTACATCCGGTCTCGCAGGTGCGAATTGGGGCATTCACGCCAGATCGTATCTTCCTAACGGTCCTTCACATTCCTTGTCAAATGCGATGAATCATCATCAGCATCAGAACATCAATTCCCATTCCGCTAATGCCGGGATTAACATCTCCGGGATGGGATGGGAATGGGGATGGGTGGTCATGGTCTGGGGCACAATCAAGGTCTTCATTATGGTCATACTCACAATCATAAATTGATGAACCCGCACATGAGTGTGAACGGTGCTATGGCCATTGGACACAGCGGTACAAACCCATGGTTAAGTGCCATTCCGCGGAGTATAGGCGGACTCGCCGACATGACAGCTAGCTGGAGAGCCAAGCGACGCGCGGAAGAACTAGATGAAAATATCTCTGATCAAAGAGATAGAGAACGAGAACGAGATATCCACCGTCCTCATCCCACAGACGAAGAATACGATGGTGAAGAAAGCGCTAGTGCTACTGGTGATGAAAAGAGTCCTGTCGGCGACGATCGAACTATTACCTTTGGTCCTCGCGCGCCTGTAACGACCATGGTGCAAAACCATCAGCGCACCACAATGGCGAGAGAAAATCTCGGGAGATAACATCACAAATGCAGCTGGTGATGAAAGAAGGCAGCTTGGCTTTTGATGAAACTTAGTGTTAAGGATGGTGAAGCAGGTGCTGCATTACCTTCTTTACCGAGTGTATCTGCAGTAGGCACACCGTTGATGGGGAGTGCGAAGTGGATTAAAGAGGGGGGGGATAGTGATGAGCCGCGGGTCAAGAGAAGGAGAGCGCTTAGTATGTGAGAATGCGGCTCTCCAAGGTGCTTGCTCAAGCTTCATCTTCAACTTTGTGTTGGATGGGTTGAGCGGGGATGGGTACCATCGAGTGGATGGTTCATACATGAGCATCTGTCGTCCGGCTTGATTAGATCGGAATAGATTTGCTCGAAGCATTTTCGCTTCTTTTCTTTTTCTCCTGCGTGCATACAGGGTTTGCGCATCTTGTTTGTTTGTTTTTTTATCTCAAATGTTTCATGCTTCATTTCATTTTCGGAAAAGGTTGGATGGGTACAGGGGAGGAGTAGTAAAGGAAAATATTAGAGGAGGTATGAGGATTAGAGCAGAGAGAAACTGGTTTGTCTAGTCTGACTAAATGAGTCTGCCTGAGTTGGTGTGGCTAAAGTGATTGAATAAGTGGATGCAGGTGGTTGATAGAGTCAGGTGGAGTAGAAAAGGGGTCAAAGGGCGGAGAGAAAGAAGGTTGTTCATATCTAGGATAGCAGGTTTGCATTGTATGTACTTACATGTTGTGGGATTGATGCATTTAAATTGCCATGTATTTTGATATCTATGGTTGCTTCTCTTATGACAACTGAAATTCTGAGGATCGTGATTATTGAAATATAGGATATGCAGTGTCATCGTGGCAGTGTATTCTTCACATGTGAGCTCAAAAAATATAATTCACACTCACACAACACGAGATATATCAAGAAAATATAAGAAGGAGCCTTTTTTGAAGTTTACTCAAGGATATCATTTATTTTGCTACTACATTCCTCCTTTTCCATTCTTCTATCCATCCTGCTGCTTTCTGCTTCGGCACAACATAAATGCTCACAACACCATCCACCACTTCTCCACCATTTAAGACTTTCAATAGTGTAACCTTTCTGCCCACCTTAATCAAAGAACCCTTTTTCTTTTCCACGTAGCACTCCACCACCTTTTCATCTCTATATTCCCCTTTAACATCCCATGGAAGTGGTAATATGTATTCCAGATGTTGTCCCACAGTATCCATCTCATTGAACGACTTGATGAAATCCGATTCTGCTGCAAGAGGATATAATAGAAGAGCTGGGAAGGATAAAGTCGAATTAATCGGATCCAATGGATCGGGCACCAACTCGATCTTCGCATCCTCCATTTCTGGTGGCTTATCCGTCATCCGTAGAGTGATTTCCCTCGCCGCCAACGATGTTTTTAATATCTTCTCTATATTCTTCTCCCTCACTATCCGTTCAACCTCCTTCTTCCTCTTCGCCTCGATCTCCTCATTCTTCTTCATAATTTCTCCAGCTAAAGCTAACAGCGCTTTGTCATCCGCTGCTAACTCCAACCCCCTCGCACACGCATCATCCGCTTCCTTTACCCTCCCTAAAGCCAGTAGAGCTTTCGCACTTCTGTAAAACGCCTTGGTGTTTTTATTGTTGATTCTCAACACCGCTCCACAATCAAACACACAACTCCTATAATTCTTGAGTCCCAAATGCGCCATCGCCCTATTCACAAGCAACACCTCAAGTATCTTAACCTCCTCCACAATCTCATCCTCCTTCTCTTCCGGCACATCTCCAGACCTTTTCTCCCCTCTCTGTCTCCTCCTCACCTCAGCCAACAAAATATTCACACCCTTCGTATAAAACTCCTTTGCGTCTGCTAATCTCTTCTCCTTGAAACTGTCATTTCCCTGCTCCTTGAAATTGGAAGCGATTTCTAACGGTGTACCTTCATAGGCCAATGCCTTGAAAGCTTCTAGTTCGTCGTTATCTTCGAGTTCGGTCATGAACAGGGGAGTGGAGTTCAGAGAAGCGAGAATTTCGGGACCGGATTTATCGCGGAGAGAGGCGAGGGAAGGGGGGAGAGAGGGAGTTGTGGAGGAGGGGTCAGAGTTGGAAGGTGCAAAGCCGGGGAAGGCGGAGGACATGGCTTGCGCGAGGAGATCAAAGTCCTGACCTGGTGCCGGGGCGGGCGCAGATGTAGGCGCATCATCGGAGAGTTCTTCAATTTTCATTTGAGAGTTGGGTGATTGATATGAGGTTTAGAAATGAGAAGGGTGGTGGAACTTGGGAAGAAAAAAATTGGAGGGGAAATTCATGGGACTTTCTTATCAGAAAATTGTGGGGTAAGCACATGGCGATAAGTACGTTTGCCGAAATGGAAGAATAATGAGACATGTGGGGTGGATCATAGAATTCATGTGTGCACATCAGTTGTATCAATCGTTTCAATCTCACATGTACAATGGTTCGCAAAACTGGTTCGCACAATCGTTTCATCCGAACTTTTGTCAAAGATGGGACGATGGGATAATGAAACGATGAGAACGCCACCCTTAGTCAAAAAATATGACAAATGAAGGAAAAAGCGTAACTTTTTTTCTTGGTTTACAACGTGTGTGAACATATCGTTACTTGAATGAGATACCTCGTTTGTACCCTCATTCTAATCTGGGACAGAGGAACCTTCAGTAGTTACAAGAACTTTCCATGGTGTAACATCCTGCTGCTACACTCATGGACAGCAGGCCAAATCTTCACATAGACTTCCGCAAAGCATCTGACATTTCTCGTCCGCACCTGTGCCATTTATGATTACCCCGTTTGATGCTTCAGCTTGTAGCGTTACACTGTGGATACCATATGCGTGCAAACATTCCCTAATAAGCTTGGCTTGCTTCATGAATGTTTTCAGATCCGTCTCAATCGTAACAATATGGGCTGAAGCGACTGTCTTCCTCTGGCATAAACTCCATATATGTAGTTCATGAATAGATAGGATGCCTGCAATGTTTTCGATATCATGCTTGACATTGTTGATGTTTATGCCAGATGGAACTGATTGTAACATTATTGCACCGGCATTCTTGACTATCAGACTAGTCAGTAATGTATACGTTGTTGAAAAGGTCAGTACAAGGGCACCATACTTATTGGGAGAGAGGAGAAGATTAGCATTAATGATATACCCATGCTCACGCCTGGATCTGCATAAAACCTTCCCTCATATTTGGTGCGCCAAATAACCAATGCGGCTATGATTACTCCTATGTTATTTACTGCATCCATAATAACATGGAGCATTACCGCAAGGTGCGCTAAGTCTCTAGGCTCGCTTCGGCTGTTTGACGGTTGAACCATATGGCAATGACCCTTGTGACGATCTTCTCTGAGGTTCCTTGAAGTGTTCAAACTAGATGTGCTCACCGTAGTGGCACATAGCGTGTCAGAGCTCATTTGTTCAATGTCGACGGTGCTTAGAATGGGTCTTTCACCATGACTATGATGTCCGTGATGATGCCCATGGTGATCATGGTCTTGATAAAGTTAGCTGAGAGCCATATCCTTCTAGGACTTTCACATACCGTGTAGGAAGATAGCACTGATAATGTTTAGAGTGAGCCCGGCACAGCCAATGATGAGCATTAAATGAGGATTTTTGACTTCTAGAGAAGAAAATATTTAGCTTTGAAAGTCCGAGTGCTGGTAGATTCGTACTCTCTAGATACACGAAGCGATCGATAGATTGCAGCGCTATGCTAACGCCTAGAGCAAGCAAGAAACAACCATTGAAGAAAGCACCTAATAATTCTGCGCGTTGCCAGCCGTAGGAGAGGGAGTCGGGTGAGTCAGAACGTTGAGATACCTGCGGCACATCGTCAATCTTCGGTTCGAAAGCGAGAAGATAGTCAACAGATCACTCACCCTCAAGGCAGCCAAAGCGACCATGAAGCCGATCAAATCATTCAGCTGAGTAGTTCTGTCAGATGAAGTCCCACAAGAACGGAGTAGAAAGAACAAAAAACGTAGGCGAAAGGAAGAGCAAACAGTTTGCTAGACGATCGGGAAGAACATACATAGTGAAAGGCATCCGCTACCAGTGCAAGGGACTTCGTATAGAACCCAACTAAAGTCACACGATTTAGCTTCCGCTGTTGAAAGCGAGATGAATATTCACGTTGACATACTTGATAACTCGGCCAGAAAAAACGACGTTGATATGCAGATCACCACGGTCAATCTTTGAGCTTTGGATAACGCCATTCTTTCCAAACGAAACTTCTGAAATTGAAAATAATATTTTCAAAATCGAGGCAGATGGTTGAGTCAAAAAGCAAATCAGATATGCAGTGAGCTGTCAAATAATTCTCCGAAGCGTTGAAATTTTCTGTACCCGTCCCTCATAATAACTTCATACATTCCTGACGACACATAACCTTCACAGCAAGCACCTAGGCATGGGTAGTTACACTTGAAACCCCCAACAACGACGCAGAGAAGGACGAGAAAGGCATTTGATCATGTAACAATGTATCGCTGCCATCACACGGCTAACGGGAAATTGCATTGACGGCTCTGTGCTATCTGGTTCTTGGAAACTTGTCTGGATAACATGGCACCGGGCTTTATCTGGTCTGATGTAGGTAACAGTCAATGAGGGACAAAACATGTGTGTGTATTTGAATTGGGAAATCAAGCTCTATAGAATGCTTGGTAAAGAGGGGAAGTTAATGAAAAGTTGACAGTAGCTGGATAGGTAACCGCCAGACGGCAACTTAGTAACCGTCGGGAGTTGCCATTGTAATACCTGATATCATATCCACCGAGTTGATGAGATACATAGGTACATGAGATTCCTAATAATATTGATTTGTGGTTGTTTTCGTTGAGATTTGAACAACGTTAATAAGTGATGGAAGTAAGATGTTTTGCAAAGTTCAACCTGCACGAAGTATAATGTTTTGATTACCTAGGTATGACGGTATTACTAATACAGCAAAATCTTTCTATGAGGATCCTGTATAAGGACAACTTCTCTATAAGGATATATTTTTGGGTCCCAAGACTTTTCAGAAGTCGAAATGATTCGTATCCTTAAAACACCTTTATAAGGATATCCTTATGTTTGAGATTCCAAGATCATGTAATCTTATATTCTTATTGGATAGATAGAAGTATTGGGACCTGGATTATTATTTGATACTATATTGAAACTTTGGTTGATCTGTATCAAAGTAGAAAATAGTACAGAAACGTTACTCGATGGGATTCATTTGAATTAGATGATCATTGGGTCAGAATTAGTTGAATATGTTTATATTATGACATATCCCTATATACTTAGGAAACACTACAAACCAGTACCTACCTATCCTTATAGAGGGGTTTTGCTGTAGACCTCTCTTCCCGAGCCTCCTCTCATGAGTTATTAATACCCCTTCATTATTACGGTGACCTGCTCGGGGGCTCGGTACTTTCAGCACTTCTATCCTGGTCTTCTTTGGCATCCGTAATTATCCCGTCATTCGCAAGCTTAGAAATCCAATTGCGCAACTTGGCCCAGTATTGACAGAATGAGGGGGATTTATGAACCCCCCCCTACTTGATCTCGAATCAAATTGCACCATTTCTTTAAATCTTATCAAAGAGAGACTGCGGAACATAACATGTCCGAAGAATCTGAGAAGAAAGAGTGGCATATAAAAGGTTCGTATCTCCCAGTCTCATCACCATTTTATTCTTCCAAACAATCATCCCACCCTCACACTTTCGATAGGATCTTTAGACGCAGAATTAGTCGTGACCCCAGCCCTTCCACCTGACTTTCATATCAGCCTTCACACACACGATACACCAGACGGAGAATCAACTATTGTCGAACTAAAAATGGGTTCTCATCCTGCTCCAAAGATTATCTTGTATACTTCCTATGCATGTCCTTGGGCCCATCGCTCTCAGATAGCTCTTGCTGAGCTCGGGCTGGAATTTGAAACTGTCATTATCGATCTTAAGGTTCCACGTACACCAGAGTATCTGGCCATCAATCCCCGGGGTCTCGTGCCTGCTCTCTCCTATAATGGAGAAATCATCACCGAATCCGGAGTGATTTCTCAATTTTTGGTAGACTCTCATCCTTCCCACTTGGAGAAGACCAGCCGTGAGGAAGGAGGTGCATTGCAACGTGCCAGATACAACTTCTTCATTGAAACCTACTTCTCGAAGGTTGCCCCACATATTATGAAAGCCGGGGTAGCGAAATCAGTGGAAGAAAGAGAACAAGCTGCCTCCAATGCTATAGATGCGATTGTGAAGGAGATAGAGCCTTTAGTTCAGAACGCAGCCCCGTTCTTTGGAGGCTCAGAGAAACTGACATTTGTGGAAGTAAGTACCAATATCTCTGGCAATGTCACTAGATACTAATGAATCCCTTAGGTTCAAGTTGGGTCATTTCTGCTCCGACTTTTAGCTTTCTCCAAATATGATGGCTTGCTTCCTAAGAGCCTTTTGACTTTAGAAGAAAAGGCTCCGGCCTTCTGGAGATGGGCGAATGCCATAAGCAAGGAGAAGAGCGTTACCTATATTTGGGATGAGGAAGGCACAGCAAAGAGAATGCTTGAACGATATGAGAAGATTAGAGCAGCTTGATTAGAGAAGCCAAATTTATGACGGAACCATCATGAGATGAATGAAATAAGAATCCAGCGGTTTGGGCACAGCAATGAGGGTAATGACGGCGTTGATATAGTAACAATTCAATCTTTTAAGATATGCCAAGAAACATCAGTCTACAAGCCTAAACCATTTTCCCCATAACACTTGTCCTCGTGATGATGTCAATTTATGCATCAGTGTTTCGTCCCTGCATTGTCAGCACCAGTCGGGGATTTTGTCCCTAAGAAACATTCAAACATTTGGTTGCTAGCATGTCTTAGAAAATGATGAGTAATGTCTCGTGGGAGCAGTTCTTCATTCTGCGACCATCACAAGGCCGCCTAGAAATTCGATAGAATTCGAACGGGACCATACCTCAGCCTCCTTTTGCCAAGGGGTGGGCGGATGCTTATGTTGTACAAATACTGGTACAAATGGATATCTAGGTAGGTAGGTAGCTTATCTTGTGCTGACAATCGTGCAATAGTGCAATAGCTGTATCTTGTGCTTTGTTGCCGAGAGATAATGTATCAAAGAGCAATCGTATGACGAGTGAGAGAAACATTAACAATGTTTGTTTTATGTGATAAATAAAACATATTTATCGTGTATTTGAGCTCCAAGATTACGATGTCTGCTACACACCCTCGAGACTAAGTAATCTTGGTGAGGGAGTCACGTGCCAGTGAGGATAAACTCTTCCTTTTCTAGATAGTAATCTCCCTACCGACCTAAGTAAGTAAGACTTAATTACTAAATCATTCATCAGCCCTACCCGATTACCATTTAGAGCCGTTCTTGAACATCCTGTTGATCTTTCCAGATTCGAATTTGATAGAGAATTGAGGGATACCGGTAGGTAATGAGAGAGTGAGAGAATGAGGCTCGGCCATGATTAATAATTGCCAGCACGAGATCATGCAAAACAAACTGCATTTTCCACTTGGCAAAAGCTTTGGGTTTGTACCTGCCCTGCCCAGAGGATATACGACATGAAAACCGACATATAATCGCATAACTACGTACCTACCTATTTAGGTGAACTCGATGACTTCCAAAGGTACTCGAATATTGTTGGTCAAGTTAAAGATGTCAACTCAGAAAAGTCTCTCAATCAATGAAATTCTTCGATATCAGGATGCAGATCTAACAACCACACGATTCGTGTTTTGATAGAACTACCGGTACCTGCTAGATAAAAGTACTCTCTCTACTGTACTTATGGATGCGGCTGGTATCGATTCCAAGTTGCTGCTGTAACAATTACCAAGCGAACAATGCACAGCCCCAGTGAGCCCCTCATAGCAATCGTGATGGAATGGATAGCCTAATAAACTCATTCATTACCTGCACAATAATCAATCAAATGATCGCCGCCTCACTTCAAACTCTCAAACTGCCAATTCTCAAAACTCACTGGCGACATACTTCTTTGATTTCGACACTTTCGGTTCAGATATCTTCCTAGATTTGATATATGCGAAAGTCTCAAGTGAATAAATATAATTCAACTACTCACTTCTTACTCAACAACGAAGACGAAGACCCACCTACCTCGTCAACCAAGCAAGGCCGTTCATTCAGTCATCTAGGCCAATTCCACCTACCCCACGGAGTTTCTACAAATCTATTAGAACCACACCCAGCAAACACCAACACTTTACAACATCCTCTCTCTACTTGCAATTCTCGAAGTTCAGAATTACTTCCGCACAACGATACATTCAACCAAAGGTATGTCGACCAAACATCCAGGCTACCATAAGGAGGCGCGGAGTTGTTCTCCTTGACTGCTTGAAGCCAAATCACTGACATCAGTATGTTCCATTCAGCAACCAATACTCGGACTTTCAGAACCTTCCTCAAGAGCCGCGCTCTTACTTGCGCCAGATCCGAATTTCCACAGACAGTCCGAATCAATATCTTGGATATTTAGAAGATGGGTAAATCGTGAGTACCACATTTCTCTTTACGCTCCCGAGACTTTCCAGCGCAACTTGCACAACATGAATACCGCCAAAAGCCACGAGGCCAATGCACCGATCTCATGAGTGTGCACCGCATTTCCGGAAGTCGTTACAAAGTCCGAGTCTTATCGCTCGATGAATATACAAAATTAGCAACTTCAAAGTCCAGCATAAAGCGATTCGGTGAGGTGTACGATGGACGAGGAGAATATCAACCACCATGACGTCGAATTACGCGCAAATGGCTGAATCGCTTGCATCTACTTGATTAAGGAACATGCGGGATATTTCATACCATCTGGATGGCGCACTGGCAGATAGACTGACTTGTTAAACCTAGTCAATCAAAGCTCTCCGCGGAGCAAATCACCGAACTCCAGAAATCTACTCACTTCGATAAGAAGGAATTGCAACAATGGTATAAAGGTGTGCAAAAAACGTAGTCGGTCTCATTGAATGGCCACCTAATAATGTGGTCTTTCTAGGTTTCTTGAAGGACTGCCCATCTGGGATGCTCACCAAGGAGGAATTCCAAAAGATCTACCGACAATTCTTTCCATTTGGAGACCCATCATCCTTTGCGGACTACGTGTTCAATGTCTTCGATAGCGACAAGTCAGGTTCAATTGATTTCAAAGAGTTTATTTGCGCCCTCAGTGTGACCAGTCGAGGAAAGATGGAGGACAAATTAGACTGGGCATTCCAGCTTTATGACATTGATGGAGATGGAAAGATAAGTTATGAAGAGATGTTAGCGATTGTAGAGGCAATTTACAAGATGGTGAGTACCTCTCAACTCCTACCCTTATGGTCACGTGGGCACACTTGAAGTCTCTATTTGCATTGGGCATGGAGCAGTAGTATTTTGCAAGTTTTGCAAGATTTGTCGAGTAAGATGCTCTGGCAATGATGCTCCTCATGAGCTGGAATTTCATCCACTACCTCGCCGTTCGGATGATTTTCCTACTTTGATAGAAGCCCATTTCGAGTATCTTTGTCTCTTACGTCACTTTGAAATGTGCAAGTACTGATTAGCACTTCTGTAGGTTGGCTCAATGGTCAAACTTCCACCTGATGAGGATACCCCTGAAAAGCGGGTCAAGAAGATCTTCCGTATGATGGACAAGGATGAGAATGGCAGTCTGGACATGGAAGAATTCAAAGAAGGAAGTAAACGTGATGAGACGATTGTATCTGCACTTTCGCTCTACGATGGCCTCGTCTAATGGATTTTCATGGAGGAATCTCTTTTCGGTGCTGAAGGTGCAAAGGGGTGTCAAGAAATTAGATATTTGAAAGAAGTTTGGGTGGTCTTCTAGATCTCCCCTCTTCTTTGTACTTTGGATCATTTGTACCTTCATCATCATTCGCCAAGTATTTGGGCGGTTCATGTTTTTGGAAGGAAATGTTTGTTGGTAGTTTAAGCGTTGCGTATGGTACCGGGAAGTTATCTCCTGGATTGGATCCCTAGGATGGATCAATTGATTAACCACATATACCGGTATAGAATAAAAACTCCTGATGTACCAATTTTCTGTGAAACGCTTTGTGATGTACATGGATTTGGTATTGGTTGGCTATTTTCCCTCCTACGTGATGCGACGGGAAGACACTGGTTACAGTGATTACGGCTGGCTCTGTCTTGAATATAAATATTCAAGAGGTAGCAAAGCTCATATGTGACATACTTGAAGACCAGTCTTGAGCTGGGGGCTTAATTGTCAGTTCACTCGGCTTTGTTGGGGTTCTTTTTTGGTAAAATTGACGGTATGCTTCAGATCTCAAAAACTTCACGTCGGCTCGAATTCACGGCCAACGCGAGCCGTAGTGAAAAATTCACTTCACCTTCTCGTCTAAAGTTCACTTGCTACCATTGATTTCTACATTCGGTATTGAATAGCCTTGCGATAACTGACTTTCTTGGTTTTAAAAAAATCTTACAGTAAAGAGACTCAATTCTCGACATATCAACTACACACACAAAAGCGCGCCATCAGCAATTTCACATATAGCTTCATCAACGTTCATCAAATTAAATAATAAACAAAACAACACCCTTCATCTCGAACAAAAGAGCAAAGAATCGCCACCAACAATGTCGCTATCCAAACCCTCCATACCCTTTCAACGATGTCCAGCAAATTGCAGAGGCTGTGCGACATTTGCAGCTCTCGGCGGCGGATACTTTCCTCCTCAAACACCTGGCGGACCATTGTACCAATGTTATGAATATGCTTTGGCGGTGGGTATTATAGACGGACCTTGTTCGAGCACGATTGAGAATGAGGATTTAGTACCTGCTCCATTGGCCGTACCTGCTAAGTCGGCGAGACGTCCTACGGGCAAGCCGATTGCTCCTTCTGCTTTCACTTCTCCTCCTCCTCCGTTGCTCCCTTTCCTGTGGAAGTGAGCAAGGAAACAAGAAGGAAAATGGAGGCAATAGCAGCCGGGCCATATACATTTGAAGAGAAAGTAGAGTTGATGACTTTTGAGGCAACCAAAGATCCGCAGTCCGCTGCATATATGGTGAACTATGCAAGAACGCACCAGAGTGGTTCCTCCGCAGGATCGACGATGTCACAAATTGAGAAAGACGCTATCTTTGCTTCCTCTTTATCTAATATGGGTGTCTATGAAGAGAAAAATGCGACTTATCCTCTTGGTCATAGTTACCTACCACCCGGTGTGGTTCCGCTTCCTAGTGATCTTCTGTTTACGATCACGACGTGTGGAGAACGATGCGCGACGAGTTTTGTTGGGATGTATGCGATGCGGATGCGAGATGCGTTTCAAGCTTCTGGGGTCGATATGCGGGCTCATGAGGTGAAAGGGGAGTGGGAGAAGACAGGGGCGAAGCGATGGTTGTATAGTTTGGGGATGGACAAGGATAAGGAAAAGGTGAACAAGATTCTAAGGAAGGGGAAAGATGTGGTCATGGCGCAGGAGAAGAGAGGGGTTAGTACGTTCAAGTTGTTGAGGGAATATGAGAATTTACGCAAGGATATGGAGAGTGAGATAGAGAATGCGTTTCGGGATATAGAGAAGGCGGTTGAGATTCTCAGGAAGCGGAGTTTGGTCTCGAGTCATCGGAGCCTCACTTACTGCCTGACAAGATTGTGCGAAGAGCGGTTGAGAAAGTTGTAAGAGAACACTTCGATCCTATTGATTGGCAAGGTCCGGACCGGGATTGGCTAGGAGCTGATGTTAGCATTTCCACCCTACCACCACGACAGCGACCATTGCAGAGTTGTGGCATGGACGGACTCGTGAGCGATGACCCGGACGACGAATCTGCATGCACCAGCTTCGTTCAATTGAAGCGTACGAAGCCAATGCATTTTAAATGGTACCATAGGAGCAACGAATTCGACAAACCGAAATACGAATGGCCCAGCAATTGAGATGTATCATGAGCAATGGAGCAATCCGCGAGCATTCGATGGGTCCGTTCTATAACGAAATATCTGATAGACCTCTCTATGTTAAAGGAGCATTCTATAAAGCAGAACATTGCTGCAGCTAACACGCTGCACTCTGTGGATTCATCGTGGCAAATTCATGGCGATCGGGATGAATATCTGTGATTGGTATTGGGACGAAGAAAATCGCATACTGGTAAAAGGATACAGCGGACACGATGACTACAAGAAAGATTGTGATCGATTGACCGAGAGTTGAATAACTGGGCAGCGGTCATCATGGAAGGGATGGAGACTCCAATCGACTCTGATAATCTATCCAAGAAGGAACTTCGATATGCTACGATTGGGAGGCATTTATTGCGACAATGGAAAGACGGACCGGGAATAATGGTTTCCAAGACTCCTAGTGATGAAAAGATGAAGGATCTCTTTTTGCTCCTCACACCACGGATAACGCTTCGCATATCAACTATCTCAATGCTCGTATTGCTGATGCAACCAAACATCGAGCTGAGATCGAAAGCAAATGGAATCACGAAACTGCGCCTCAAGATGTCTTTCAGGCTAGAAGAGATTTGCTTGCTCATATAGATGTGTTGGAGGATTTTAAAATCGAAATCGAAGCGCTCAATCGTCAGGAAGAGACAGGACAGAGCCCCATTTTCAAAGACAAAAAGACGAGAAGAGAGTGAGTTTGTGGGAGAGGGAACGTTCAGAAGAGATTGCGGTTGTGGGAAAGAAAGCCGGCAGGTGAAATAAGGGACACAGTTCGGGTGCTAAAGCGAAATGATCTGAAAAATGAAGTTAAGTGGAGGGAGGGATGATGTGTAGTTACGATTTCTGCATAAATACTAGATTGGACATGGAGTCAGGAAAAGATATTTGGGTTATATGACAGGAGCACTGATCAGCGGTCAATTTGGTTTGGTTGTTCCATTATCGCGGTTAGTTAAGTTGCATATGTCCATACGTGCTGGTATTAATGAATATGAATGTTTTATGAATATGCTCGCTCTTCTGTTCTTGATGTTTTTTTTTGTCTAGTAGATGGATTGACTGTTTGCTTTAAGTATCTAGTATTGAATCAAACATACTTATCATAAGGCTTATAGTTGTCCACAGCGCAAAGTCTGCTATTACAAAAGAATGACAATATCTTCAAAGTATGCGTTTCTTCCTCTGATGTTCCTTCCAAGTGAAGTGAAGTTGTTGATCAAATGCAGCAGGCGGTGTGCATGATCGATCCGAGCCGTTTATGGGAAAGGACCTTCGCTTAGGTAAGCTTATAACCTTATTTCTTAGCTCCCATATCATGTGCCACCGTGGACCTCGGAGAAGGATTTCCTCTTAATTAAAACATCCTAAACACCACCAAAAGAGACATCCTTGACAACCCAAAACACAATGAATTGGTTTAAACAGACGTGTGCCTCTCCCTTAATTTGATAAAATCACCTGCTAAAATTCACAGACTCGCAAATGTCGTGGGAACTGAGGAACCAGAGTATGGTTCTGCAGGTATTCGCACGGTAACAGCTCAAGCTGAGAAAACTCCCTACACCGAGTTGACGAAGACCGATTTGAAATGGAAGGCTCAAGAGAGTACAAATGTAGAGACTCAGACCTTCTATATGATCTCAGATGAGGGTAAAGTCGCATCTGTTCAGATGATTTACAACAATGTGGCGTATGTTTAACCCTTGCACTTATGAGATGCATCACGCGTTCAGGTAACATTACACTAACGCCGGGTGCAGCGGACTTCGAACAACTTGTCAACTGAACGTCAAAGTATTCAACCACAAAGGTCCAAAACAATCTGACCATCTCTGGCTTTCAGATGCACTCGAGAACTATGGTTTTTGACGAAGAATGGTTTCGTTCTACGCCGACGGTCTTTCCATCGCTTTGAACGAAGCTGGTGACGAATACACCATTAAAGCGGCTCGTAATGAGTCTGGACTTGTCAACCTTGTATTCAAACGCGCAGCCCCTGGCTTCCAGGTGGGAGAGAATGGAACCACCTACTACGGTACTGATCCCGCTGCACCATGGGGAGAGATGAGACATCGATTCTGGCCTCGTTGCACCGTCACCGGTACAATCACCACACCCGAGAAGAACTACGACTTCAAAGGACGCGGAATTTTCATTCACGCCATTCAAGGCATGAAGCCTCACCATGCTGCAGCAAAATGGAATTTTGTAACTTTCCAAACACCTACGTACTCCGCTATCATGATGGAGTTCACAACTCCTGCTTCTTACGGCCATACCTCTGTGAATGTTGGAGGTATTGTAAAGGACGGCGAGATCGTATATGCCGGCGCTACCAACACTGTAAAGCATACTGAGTCGAAGGAAGACCCAGAGACCATGTGGCCCGAACCTATCTCAGCTGAGTATAAATGGGATGGCAAGAGCAAATCTGGTGAATTCTCTGCAGTTCTCAGTGGACCGCTCGGGGAAAGGACAGACAGAGTTGATATTCTATCCCACATTCCCAGCTTTATCAAATCGGTTGTTGGAGGAGTTGTGGGAACCAGACCTTTCTGTTACCAGGTAAGCTATCCGGCGGCGTTTTGATTTATCAATATTAACATTTTTGTAGTGGGCTATCCCTCCAACTGACTCCCTCGTCCTTAAGATTAAGGATGGCGAGACAGCTGTGGAGGAGCAAGGTACACTCTTTGGTGAATCAACCTTCATCTTGTAGAAGGAATGCGAAGTATCCAGGTTCCAGAGATTACGAATGGGGGCCTCATGATAATATAGAAGTTGGCCAATGCCCAAATTTGTAGTTTTGAATATTGCGCATCAACATAACAATCGTTTACCTACTCCTGCTTTCGCACGAGGAGCCGCGAAGAAGGGCTTCTTATGGGTTCTTCTCTTACTTTCTTTCTCTACGGCTCGTTTCTACAGATTGAGAATGGTTTTAATTGGATGATTTTTTGAAAGGGGTACGAATGATATTGTAGGGCTGTTATAATTCGTTTTAGCTTAGAATATCATTACAGTCTCTTTGTACCTACTCTCATCTCATGATGTGATCTGATAGCACGACTCGCCTGCCGGGACATGGTATGGTATTACAAGCAACTATATGTGGATGAAAAAAGTGAGTGCAGGTTATGAGTTTGAACTTAAAGTTCATTTGAGTACCTCTCTCGTCTAGTGTTCATGATTAGTTTTCAAGTCAATGCTCACATCACAGTCTGGCACTCGAAGAATTTACTTTGAAATTTTCGTGAAACAGTCTGATAACATGGAATATTCTTACTCGTTTCAATTTTCAATTTATTCAACTTTTCTTTTAACACTATCAAATATTCTATCGTAATTCAACGCATGACTCGTCATAGTAACCAACCACAGATCTTCAATTTCCCCAAAGCGCCCATTAGACACTCGCAGCAACCTCCTTATCCTTAACAATCTTCTTCACAGAAGATCTCTCCATCATTTTCCGATGCCACTTCCAGAAATGCGAAAAAAATCCATCTCCATCTCCATCACCACTTCTCCCGCGCGAGCGCCAAAAGATCCACGGGATCCCCGTGTCTCGGGGAGTAAACGCCACATCCGCATATGTAAGATTATATTTGTTACCGACTAATCGTTCTTTTTCAGTCAGATGTTTATCACATACGTACAAGACGCGTTTCATCTGGTTGAGATAGCTCGCTGGCGCTATTCAGTTTTTCGCTGTGGAGTTTGATACATTAGATGGGTTGGTTGGTGGTTGGAGGAGGGTGCTTGGTTGGATATTTGGGGATGTGAATATTGGTTTAGGTGGTGGTGTGCGGGGAAGGAGGGGTAGGGTAGGAGGGTGGGTGAGGAGGGCAGAGTGGTCGATGAGGTATTTCATGATGGCGCTGGATTCATAGAGGGAGAGGGAGGTGGTGGGGTTGAGGTCGGTCATTGCTGAGAGGGGGGGTGGGGCTCGATTAAAGGAGGGGTGAGGAGGTGAAGAGGTAAGAGGAGGGAAGATATTATTACGAACCTAGGTATTCGGTGATGTAGATCTTGAGTTCTTCTATAATGATAGCTACCTTTCATGGGTTGGGCCCGGTTACTATATTGTTGCCAGCATTCTTTCCGATCTTTGCATCTCAAGGGCTTCGACTTACTATAGCTGTAAAGAGTAATTGGTTAAGTCATATTGATGCATTGAGTTGATTTTTAGTATCTAATATGTGAACAAGCTGTCTTGAATGAGATCTGACAAGAGAAAATAAGGAAAGCTCATTCTATCTATACAACCATGCCGTCGTAACCATTATGATCTTATGTGACGACTATCCTCTGAGCCCCTCATCGAGTACCGACGAGCTCGGATGACGGGTAGTGACGAACCTTCCGTAGTCCCCGTTTCCAAGAAATTTAAAAGCCTCCGTTGAACTCGGGAAGGTTTTCAGAGTTTCTGGTGGAGAACTTTGTAGTTGGTTACACGATCAAGATTTGGTCTCACCATCTGCGCTCTTACAAATCTTCGATACTTTCGTCGTGGGTCCATAGGTGTAAATGTAATTCATTGTTCTCTTTCCATCCAAATCGTTGTGAAATGCAAAATCCTTAGAAATCACATGAAACCTCCGCATTAAGGGTCAACGATGTAGGTCTCTTGAGCAATGGGGAAAGTGTGTATGTATAAGACTCTGATGGTCCGTTTCAGTGCAGTAAACTCACAATGAATGAAGAAATAAACCGGGTTAAGGGCTTCATTCTAAAATCATGCAGACTCCAGCATGTATTGCGGTTCGCTGTCATATTACATGTAGCGCCTTTCTAATGATCATTGATCAAGGCTTTCTGTAGATGAGTTTCCTCGTCGAATTTGTGTTTGTAGGCAACTAGCCATCTTGTTCATATTCTATTTGAAACATAAAATGGTTCACAAGGCACTTGCCAGACTTATCAATACCTCCACACTTGGTGTCGATGCCGCTGTTGATATTGATCTTGTGAAGAGGTTGAATTCTGTAGCTGCAGAAGATTAGCCCTGCCACTAGTGGGTGTATGGACTGACAAAACACTACAAAAGTTGATTTAGTAATATCTCCTAAATCCTAACACGAATATCTGAAAATCATGATACCAATTCACCAAAGATCGAATGACAAGCATATAGATTCTGATATCAAACAATCGAAGAATAAACTTATTATGAAACTTAAAAGTTGAGAATCGTCCCATTAGTTCATGCACCCACTGGTGAGCTATCATTTACTATGACTAAGCACAAAAGCGCCACACCAAACAGAGAGCTCTCCTTTCCTTCGCATATCAAGCCATCTCACAAGTCAGATAAATCAACCCCCCTTTAATATCCAATTCTGTGATATTCAGGATATGATCGTACGACCAGTATCCCAACGAATACGACTCCCAATCTCTCCATTCCGCAACTTCCAATCTCGCACCATGACTTCCCACCCTCCCCCCAAACCCCTCATACACTTTGGGAAATTCGAAGTCACGGATCAGGCAAGTTCTATATAAGAGCAAAGCTCAGATCTCAATGCAGAATTCCAGATTTCTAACTTCATCCAGGTCTTCCACAAATCCACCCACTGCTACTGTCTCGTAAACATCAAACCCATTCTCCCCGGCCACGTGCTCGTAATCCCTTACCAGCAACATCCCCGCATGACCGATCTCTCACGTGCAGAGCTAGACGATATCTTTTCCACGACGCAGAAAGTGCAGAGAATGCTCGCGTCTTATTATTTCCCGGGTCAAGATCTCACAGCGGGATCGTTTAATATAGCGATTCAAGATGGGCCGGAGAGCGGACAAACGGTACCGCATTTTCACTGTCATGTTATACCGAGGACCAAGGAAAGCGCGAGGATTGGTGATGGGATTTATGATAAGTTGCAGGGAGAGGAGGGGAATGTGGGAGGGGGATTTTGGGATAGAGACGCGCAGCTGGGGGAGAGACCGGCGCAGAAAGGAAAATTCCCAAGGGTGGATGAGGAGGATAGAGTGCCAAGAAGGTGAGTCTTGAGTTTGTTTCAAATGGTCTTTTCTTGGGAATTTGTTCTGGGCTTTGGATTCAAGTGTTTGGATTGTGATTACTGATTAATAACTGATGATGTAGTGCGGAGGCGATGAACCAGGAAGCCGCTCTTTTTAGAGAACAGATGCAAAAGTTGGGGCATAGTGAGGTGGAACAACTTGATCAATAGAAAGTTCTCAAAATCGTAAGATTCCCAGCTAGATAAATAGGTACTAATGTTTCCACGACCATTATATCATAAGATCTAGTGATCCCTAAAAGTAAAATCCTCATATGAAAATAAGCAAGATATAGTATCTATATACTTTCTCAATTCGTCGGCGGCAAAAATCATCACTAGACTCTAGCTCTTCTGACACTTATGCTTATGTTTCTGGCCCTATATTAGACCCCATTCACGTAGATCACTCTTTCCACCTCGTCGTTTCGCCCATCTTCAACCTACAAACTCGCTACGACAACTCGCGGCGCTTAACGGACCCCGCTTTCCCACGATGAAATTGCTCCTCGTATATAATAAGTGGGATCCCGTCATTCAACATCGCTCTTCTCTCATGACTTATGTCAAACCCAAGTCAGGAAATGATTTCAAGATCAATCACGATTTTAGAAATCGAGCATGCGTCCAGATAATTCCGCGAGTGCGGCGCCGCTGCTCCAATTCGTGGTGACGAATACTCCTGTCATTTTCGCTGATTTTTTCGCATCTTTGATACAAAAAAAACCTCGGAATGTAGTAGCATCCAGATAAAAAGGTGGCGAAGCCAGTCAGCCCTTACTGCGGGGCTAGCAACCGATGTTAAAGCGCATCCGTTGCTTAAGCTTAAATTGAGTTAACTAGGCCTTCGTGTATGCTTGGCGTTCCTTTGGCTAGATAAATGCATTGGGGAAAACTCTTCTCGTGCTGTCTTCCTGTGTGAATGTTTGAAAGTGTCCAATTCAACTGCGGGCTTTCAGTTCTATTATCAAGTCAATTTGACCACACTGTCGGGCAACACAATCGTCTATCCATTTCCTCCCGTATCTGCCGAGCTTATCACGATCACCTCGAACACCCGCCTCTTAAGTTTACCACGACCATCCCAAACACCACCCTCTCAACCACACCACCATCTTCTCACCCCCCACCCAGAAAATGCACATCCCCTCCCTCCCAAACCCACTCCTCACACTCATCATCATCTCATCAATTCTCCCCCTTACCCTCGCCGTGCCCATCTGGTCCTACGACTCCACAACCACAACCATAACCATAAGCACCATCAGCATCCTCACGCTTCCACCCACCCACCCCAACCCAAACTACGAATATGCACTCAACTTCCCCACCCACAAATCCTGCCTCTCTTCCACCCCCTCCTCCTCCCTATCCCCCCTTCTCTCTCCCTCCCGCTACCTCTCCGCCTTCACATCCCCATCCCCATCCCCATCCTCACCCTGCTCCACTCTCCCCACCAAATTCCACTGCTCCGATCGGCGAACTGGCGGATTGCCAACAGGAACAACAGGGGTATATGTAGTCGTTGAGTTTCTGCGCGAGGAAACAGAGTGTGTGATGCAGGCGGTGAGGGAGAGTACAGGGCTGGAGATTGGGAAGATGAGGTGTGAAAGAAAGAAGGGGATGTGTTTGGTGGATTTGGTGGTGAGGGATATGAGGGAGAATGATATAGCGAAGCGGGAGCGTGAGGACT